TGGAACGGCTGACGAAGTGTTGGCAGAGTATAAGAACAGGAAGGACTTGAGCTGAATCAATAGCAGCTCTACCCAGTCGCTACATCCCTACTCGCACCAACATGTTTTCCACCCTCTCGTTCCTCGACCAGTTCAACGCCCCCTCGACCGAAGGCGGGAAAAGGCTCTCGATCTACACCCCTAAGCACACCCACGTCGGCGATAGCACCTTGCTGACGCTCCTTCTCAGTAATCCCACCGACGTTTTCAACAAGCTCAAAGCCCACAACCCCGAGGCAACCAATGCTACCGACCGCGCTGCACTGGAGGCGTATCTCTCCGCCTGCCGCGAATACGACGAGGCTGTCAAGGCAGCCGACGAGGCCATCGACCACCACAAGCGGCTCCTACGCCAACAGGACGACCGCGTCCTCACCGAGCTCATCCAGCTCGACAATCTGAAAGTCGCCCATTGCTTTCAACCGCTCCTACCACGCAGCATCCGAGCATGACACAACAAATTCATCCCGCGTGCCATCCCCAACGTGTACTTACCCCTACCCGCACCCCTACCGACGTCTGCCTTCAGACGCCCCCCGATCCCATCCCCTTTCCTCCAAGCAACGCCGCTGTCACGAGTTGACACGGCGTCTAGCCGTTTTTTAATTTTTCCTTTTCGCGGGCTTGAACCCGCAACCTCTGTACTACTTACCAGATATGGACGCGTCGTTATCTACTGTATGATCAGATTAGATAGGACGGCAGTGCGCGGCACAGCTCGGGCTCCGCTGACACAGCCGCTCTGACTCACCGGCCCCCGGGGCCGCGTCAGCATGCTGCGCACGGACCAGCTGCGCACGGACCAACGCGCACAGCCTGCCCTAATCCCCCCATGTATATAAACCGGCCTCTGCTGCCCTAGGGACCTCAGTTTCGACCTCTTGTCCCTAGGTCAGTAAGCTCCTGTATTCTCTTACTTACCTTACACTAACTAATACACTTTCTTGTCCCTAGCCTTAGGTTTGAGCACAGCTCACCATCGCTTCGGTGAGACTTAGTCGGACGCCCCCAGCCTTCAAGTTTTCTCTAGTCGCTTGACCTCAAGTCGCGACATTAGGTCGAAACTCCCCAAGCTGCCGGCGTCCCCTCGGGACTCCCTTTATTCACTTTCCTTTCCCACAGGTCGGGTGGTGCGCACCCCTACGATACTTCACGGTACATACGATACGTAGATAGCTTTACTATACATCGCCAACCCTCGGGGAACAAACTCTTCAACACCTGCACTTTAGTGGGCGGTGTTTGTCCTCACGGACGCGTGGACTAGGTTCCTGCTGCATAATAGTCAAAAGCAGTACTGGGCCCCACGTGAACTGCGAACCTCAGGGTCTTCTCGGGCGCCGTAGCGTAAGCTAGTGTAGTACGGCCATTTTTAGTACGCGCACCTCCCCGTCCTTCCCCCATCCAACGTGGCTGCCTGCCAAGGCCAGATCCACGCATTCGACTCCCAGGACCTCATCGACGTCTACATCCCAGATGGCCCTGAGACTGTCCTCTACCGTTGCGAGCAGCAGCCGTGCCCAAATCGGACACCCCGATCAATCGAGGAAGATTACCCTCGTTACAAGGCGATCCGACGAGCGCAGCACCCGCTCGGACCCCGAAGCACTCTCGCATCTCGATCGGCCTCGCGGCACTCTCGCCCTGTCTCCCCCACCTCCCGCCTCCCTCAAACTGTCGCCGATCAAGTACGAGGAGATCTCCCTCCAGACCCTGCGCCAGAGCCTGAGCCTGAGGAGGGTGCAGGTGAAGAAGGAGTCTCGGAGTCCGAGTCCGAGGATTCTGCTGGGTCCACCTCGCTGACAGCGCTCGCCCCCGCGTCAGCAGTCCCTGACGTACGTAACCCCCCCGCCGAACTTCCTTCAGCGCCTTCAGCGCCGACTCCGCCGAGAGGCCGCTCGAGCACTCGCTCCTCTCGAAGTTCGGCCAGCGGAAGGCCACCACAGCCGCCTCCGCCCCCGCAGCGTCCTCCGTCCCCCCCGACGCCGATAATGTCATCTCCTGCAGCCGCCCCCGACAAGGAGACCTTGAAACTCCTCCTCCCGCTCCGCTACGATGGCAAAACCATCATCGATTGCGACAGGTTCTTGTCGCAGCTGCGCATCTACTGGCTGGTCAACACGTCGTTGACCACCATCGAGCTTAAGGTGCAGGTCGCACTCAGCCTACTCGATGGAGATGCCCGCGCCTGGGCCACTCCCTACTTTGCCCAGCTCGCATCGGTGCAGGTGGGTGTGCAAGGGGCCACGACCCCGTTCGCAAACGAAGCGGCCTTTGCCGCCGCCTTCAGGGCCCGCTTCGGAAATCTCGACGACGAGGCGGCAGCACAAGTAGAGCTGGCGAAGCTCTGCGCGGACAAGTCGGTCCGTGAAAAACGCACCGCTGCGGAATTCTCCGCGCTGTTCAAGGGTCCGGCGGACCG